AATAAATTTTAAAAAATCAACAGCTAAAAGTGGAAGGTATTTATTAAAAACATTTTGTGTCGCCACGTGTTCATTTAGTGTGTACGTGGCATCATTCTGATGGCGGATTGAGTTTGCCCTACAAAAGTAATGTACCTCGAACATAAGTTTCCATACTTTATTTCTTCTTTAAGTAATCGGATTCAAAGGTAAGATAGTAGATACGCGTAACATATCGCTTGCAAAACTTGAAATTAAAAATAGACTAATTCAAATCAACTAGATTGAAAGATGTGTTTATTAAAGAAATAATATCGTTCCCATAACAAAATATCGACTATTTTCTGGTTTCCGAATACTAATCACCAAGCATTAACGATTAAGCTAGAATCATATTTCTCCATAAGGGCAGTCGTCATTAAGTTCTCTCCTAATTAAAATTAACTATCGAATAGTTAGTTTAACCTAATTAAAGTCCATATTAATAAATTGATTAAATTATAAACCAATGAACATTAAAAAAGTGTTTTGTGAGTGCAAATTGTAGGATCTTACTATGGACGGTTCGAGTTAAATCGGCATCTAATAACATATTGCAATGCACTTTCTTTACCAGGGCATCTTTGATCTTCACTAAGACTCTACCTTTTAATTACACTTTCTTATTTGTTTAGCCTTTTCCATAGCCTTTGCAATTTACAACCATCCATGAATTTTTATTTATTTTACTCTTTTTGGTCAAGAGAACATTCACCTTTGCACTTTGAATGGACCATCGGACCATGTGACAAAAAAAAATCAACATTCGGTCATAATAATTAAAAAAATTAGGTTAATTTTCCGTCTATTATAGCGATATTAGCTAAAGCTATTCCACTGTTTAATCTTAATTAGATTTACGAACGTAACGAAAATATTATTTAGTTACGTTTGATTTAATAAAAAACGCGGATAGTTAAAATTATATTGTCATGTATGTTTCTATTCGCGCGATGCGACTATTACATGTGAGTGTGTTTACAAGTCAGTGGCAATTATTGTGAAATTGACCAAAGAATCTTCGGTTGTTCCAATGGTCCAAGCACACGCCTACATTTGTTACATATTTTATGCCAACACAATCAAACATGGTCAGTCACACTACATGCATACAATTTCTTTCGACTTTCATACATACCTATAAACTATAACCTTAGTCATAAATATGTATAACATTTTTCTGAGTCTGAAAAGAAAACATCTAAAGATAGGAGTTATGTCATAATAATTTTTCCGTATTACAGAAAATCATTCTGGACTTATTTCTCTGTTTCTAGAATATATAATTTACAAACAATTCTAAATCTATCAATCATAAAATATCGCTTTAACATTAAACGAAACTACATTTTTTAAAATCTAAAATAATATTTAATATACTAGTAATATTGAGTTCATGCAATTCATTAATTCGGTGAATAATCATTAGTGATAATGTTTGACCCATAAATGATCATTTTAATATACTACTTAGTAGTAATTTTTATAAGTAATAAATAAATTATGAAAAGGACACACCCAATGTTAAATACATACTATATTCATTAGTCTTGGACAGAAAGGAGCAAGCGTAATATCAACTATCAACGAATAAAATACTATTTTTATTATTAAAAAGTAGGTAAATTACGAAAATAACCTTAACCGACAACGATATCGTTAAGGCGATACCACTAGACCCTCCCTCTCTATAAATCTCTGCTTCCCTCTGCCTCTCCAAAAACCTCTCAAGACTCAAATCAAAATCAAATCCTTTCCAATTTTTTCAAATTCTCAAACCAAACCAACAAAAAAATCTCTCTCTCACTTCTCTTCTATTTAACTCGAAATGGCGCGCCTTCTCTTTCGTCTTCTCGGAGAATCCAACTCTCCGTCGCCGGTGACGGCGGATACATCCACCGCAGCTTTGAATTCCGATCTCGTCGTCATCCTCGCCGCTCTCCTCTGCGCATTGATTTGCGTTCTCGGTCTAATCGCTGTTTCTCGATGCGTCTGGATCCGTCGTCTCGCTGCCGGAAACAGAAACGTCTCCGGATCTCAAACCGGTTCCGGTCAGTCTCCTCCTCCGCCGCCGGTAGCAGCTGCGAACAAAGGACTGAAGAAGAAAGTCCTCCAATCTCTCCCGAAGGTTACTTTCTCGCCGGAATCACCTTCGTCGGAGAAACTCGCCGAGTGCGCGATCTGTCTGACGGAGTTCGCCGCCGGCGATGAGCTCCGGGTGTTACCGCAGTGTGGACACGGATTCCACGTGTCTTGTATTGACACGTGGCTAGGGTCTCACTCGTCTTGTCCTTCGTGCCGTCAGATCTTGGTGGTTGCCAGGTGTCATAAATGTGGAGGTTTGCCAGGTAGCTCTAGCTCCGGACCTGAATCCGAACCTGAATGCGAGACCCGAATCAAGCTAGGCGAAGATGATCCCAATTCCTTCTTGCCTTGATCTTAGTTTCCCTCCTTTTCCAATTAGAGAAAAATTATTAGTATAAATTTAATGAATGCAGATCATTTTTAGTGGATAATGTTTATTCTGTTAGTGTACGTACATGTTTATTATAATCTGTAAATGTTGTATGAAATGGAAATTTAACGATTTGCACTGATTAACCCTTTTGTTTCTTCTAACCTACCAAAATCAACTCAATATTTTTTTTTGTTTTTGTGATAAATACTCATATAAATTGTTGAATATTGCTGAAGCAATAATGGATATGCTCGAAAATTCCATCATCTAATCGCCGATCAGAGTTGTTAACTTTGCATATTTGACTGCTAATCCATAATTTATTTGTTTATTTGGTTTTTACTAATCCATATTTTTATGATATGGAAATAAACTTTTTTCCCATTGTTTCGAGAATAGTGCAGTTATGGATGGGCGTTCGGTTAGTCAGTTACTGTGACAGTATCGATGAAAATAAAACGATGCTTCGTATAGAATGAAAACGATGACTTTGAGGAAAATAATATATGTAATTACTGTGACAGTATCGATCGATAGCCCATATTCAAGTCAATTAGCCAATACTTTTATTATTCAATAATTAGTCACTAGCTTTGACCACTATATTATATAAGGAGCAATTACAAAAATGTTATTTTGTGTGTGCACATTTGTAAAAATGTCATTTAGGGGTGCTCATTTGCAAAAATACCACTAATTATAGATTTATAAAACCTATATCTTAAAATTCTAAACCCTAAAAAATGTTTTGATCCCTAAAACCCCCTTAACCCTCATAACTAAACCCTAATGGAACATAATTAACCTAAACATAAATGATATAAAGAAAAGACAATTTTGAAAAAGTGGCATTTTTGTAAAGATTTCAAAAATGTGGTATTTTTGTAAAGTGACACTTGAAAAATGACATTTTTTTAAAAATTCTCATTATTTAATAGGTTAATTAGCTTAATATTGGTTTTGGGCTGAATAATTAGGTAACTAACGGACTGAATAATTAGGTAACTAACTTATCATAATGAGATTTAGGTCTCTAGGAGAGAGAAGAAAACATTGGACAAAAATATCCCTACGAAATTGGGAAAGAAAATACTCCATAAAAATCAGTCAAAATATTTACTATTAATCAGTAAAAATCACTAAAAAAATTTTAAAATTTCTGAAAAATATTTATTTGAAGAAGCGAATCCCTAGCAGCTATCTAGTTGACTATATTTATACTTTATATGTTGTTGTAGTTAGCTAAAATTCCTACTTTATATAGTTGAATATATTCCTATTTTTTAGGTTGTTCTAGTTAACTATTCAGTTAATAATGTAGTGAACTATATAATCTTTACAATAATTAATTCAATTGTAATAATATACTTAGCTATATACTCTTTACAATTGTAAATCTTGTAGTCTATGTTTATCAATATAGTTAACTAAATAACACTTATAATTAAATATAGTTAACTAAAATAGTAATTCATTAGTCATATACAAATAGTTAGCTATTCAATCATGTATAGTGATCAAAATAGTTCACTATGTAGAACATTGCATTGATGCAGTTGGATAGTTATACTTTGTAATCAGATATACCATTTAGTTAAAGTATAAGACGATATGTAAAACGTTAATTAGATAGATATCATGATTGTTTCTAGAAAAATGGTTAAACGTTATCTTGAAAAAGATTTTGGAAAAACTACAAACATCAAATCTAATATTTACGTTGTTATTGATGAGATTCGTTTGACAAAGAAAATGAAGAAAGGAAGGAATATGAAATCCAAAAAGGATTAGATAATCATTTAAGAAATTAAAGAATTATTGGATTAGAGAATGAAGGAGATGTCATGAGAATTGAGAAGAAGAAGAGAGAAGAGACGGCGGTGAGGGGTTCTAAATTTTAGGGTAAATTGTTTATTTGCAATTTTAAGTGTTAGTTATTTTTTATTAAATAATTTTTGGTTTATGTAAAAGTAGAAAAGAGAAAAACTAAAAACATTGGTAAATAGAAAAAGATTAGGGACATTTACAAAAATGTTACCTTTTGTGTCCACATTTGCAAAAATGCTACTTTTGGTGTTCATTTGCAAAAATGCCACTAATTATGATTTTTTAGAGCCTAAATCTTAAAATTCTAAATCCTAAAAAAAAATTTGACTCCTAAAACCCCTTAAACCCTCAAAACTAAACCCTAATACAACATAGTTAACACAAACATAAATGATATAATGAATAAATAATTTTGAAAAATGGCATTTTTGTAAAAATTGTAAAAAAGTGGCATTTTTGTACAGTGATATTTGAAAAGTGGCATTTTTTGAAATTTCTCAAAAAACTAATTCTGGAATTTTAAGTATATTAATTGTTAGACACCTAATTATGTTTTAGATCATGTTAGATAATTAATTATAGGTAACAAACCTAATATACATGCCTATTATTCTTATTTAATTTGGCTAATGAATTAATAAAGGATTAATTAGGTTAATATTACATTTATGGTACATAATTAAGAGAATAATATATATAGAATTAAATTTAGGTTTATAGCAGAGAGAAACGAAAAGTTGACTATTTTACCCTTGTTATTATTAATTGTTCTCTTTCCTCATAAATATGCTTTAAAAAAACTGTCATTATGGAAAAGAGAGAAATGATTCAAACATACACACAATATATTATTTCTAAATTCTTGTAATATATAGTTGTTGGGGTTGGATTTCACCCGCTCAACGTCAACGTTCAAAGAACAACAACTGGAGAAATGACCCTCGGGATTCTCAACGTCTAAGGCGTTGAGAATGGTGCCTAAAGTCCTCACGCGAAGCAAAGCGAATGATCATGTCAAGAGCCTAACCCGAGGACGTCGTCGCTGCTACGCGGGAGAGAACGTCCTCGCTGCTACGCGAGAGAGAACGTCTTCGCTGCTACAAGGGAGAAGACGTCTTCGGTCACTACGGGAGAGGACGTCTTCGCACACTCCAGGCCGAAGACGTCTTCGCAAGCCATGACCCAACGGACCGAAGACGGCTCAAACCGAAGNCNAGTCCAGTCACGAAGCCCAGAGGACTAGCCGACTCAAGGAAAGGTGACTCCGCGAAGACTTAGGAGGCATAGCCGACTTAGATGTAATATATATACCTGATGTAAAAGTCCTTGTGGAGGCACTCGCAATCTGATTCACAAAAACTGACAGAGCAATAAAAAAAANAACTTTCGATACTTTGGTGATCTTAGCTAACCCTAGAAATCTCTACCTCTTCACGAAACCCTAACAAATCTAGTTGTGTTGGTTTTGGCCTCCACAATTTGCTTATGACTTAGTTTATTATTAGTCTTTTTATGACTTTGTCGGATATGATGACTTGACAGCATTGGATGGTTTGTATCCTTGCTATCATTTTGGATCCTTGCATTGCNGCAAATGCANGATAACTATGATTACAGCTTTTTGTTTCTNACCCCCATTGNTGAGCCTAGTTTGTTCTGTTTTATGATGAACTTTTGAGGGTTTTGGAGTAGCATACTCGCTGAAGGTGCTCTTCTACACTTAGGAGTGTTTCATGCTGTATTTGGAAAATGCATTGCCAACGCTGCTGTTGGGCTTTTGCGGACTGGTGCCGTTCTCAAGATACGTCTGTCCGAGAACGAATACACCCTAAATTTTACCAGTGCGATCCTGGGTTTTCTGAATGATTGTTCAGTGTACAAACCGAACAACCATTGGCAGCTGCTTTTTACCAACGATGCTTGTTGGGTTTTTGAATGATCAGTTGGGTTCATCCGCCCCAACACTGAACATCAATACTTATATAGCGCGCTTTGGATCCGATGCTGGATGTCATTGCGTTCGTACTTCTGCATCATCACTGTGGCCAGCAGCAATGAGTGCGGAACGAGTTTACTAGATTGAAGCGTTGAGTAGCCCGTGAAGGACATAGCTGTTCCCATGTTGAGACTTGTGTCAAGTGTTTGACGTTTTTGGTGATGATGTTGTCAAAGATGATGTTGTCAAAGAGTGGAGTACGGGTACCCCACTCCCCCCTCTTTAGACGAATGAAGGTAACTGAAGTTGTTTAGAGATATGCTATGAAAATACTGAAAACACTTACCCCTCCCCTGGCAACAGAAGAGGTCAAGTGAGCTCATCCGGAGACGAGGCTTTTGAAATTACTTACCCCCCCCCCCTCAAGGCGGAGGAGATCGCTGGGACTCATCCGGAGACAAGGCTTGGAATAAAACACTTACTCCCCCCCTTAAGACGGAGGAGATCAAGTGAGCTCGTCCGGAAACGAGGCTTGTGTAACGCGGAATC